CTTTTTTTTATTAAAAGAATTTTAAAATATTTTTGAGGATTCTGAAATGGAATGTATTTACAGAGAAATAAATTTTTACACATTTAATAATACTTATAAATCTATTATAAAACGTGTTTATAACCTAAAAAGAAATAATAAATAGAGCTAATTTTTACCCGGGTGGTACATTACAAATTTGTATATAGTCAAGTGAATTCCCTTTATAGTAAAATCACGTTATAGTGAATTTTTTAATTCACCAAATAATAAAATTTCTCCCAATATTAATAAATCTCATTCATTATAGTGAGCAAAAATGGTCAAAACCAAGAGTTTACTATAAAGTGTTTTGACTGTATACAATTATTGGATCAAAATTAATGTTTATGATTGATTGTCCTTATCGTGTAAAGTATAATTTTTTTTTTAAAAAAAAAAAAAGGTAATACGAAAATGCATTTTAGTTACTGTAATAAAGGAAAAATTAAAGTGGTATGTAATGTATGTAATATAAAGATAATTCAAATTCTACGATTCAAAAAGACCATTATTTAAAAGTTATGTAGGCAAATAAAGGATAAATGAAAGAAAAAGATTTACGTAAAGGTCTTCGCATCTTATTCAACATGTAATAAATCCATAATCTTTTCCAAAATAGGATTACCACCTAATCTTTTTAATTCACTTCTCGCTTTTTCTTCGGTTTTAGATAAATAATCTTTTGTATACTCAAATGAACCTGTATCTTGAATGATCTGTACCGCAAAATGCTTCAAATCAATTGAAGTCGTACGTTGTTTCAAAATATCTATTTAAAATTTATAAAGAGAAAATAAGTTTATTGAAATGTACCAATATCAACATAAATAATTAGGATATTTACTGATTAATTGACGATTAGAATTATCGGAAGTATGAATTGAATGTATAATTGGAAATGAGAATTTTCCTTCAGTCAAATCTTCACAGAATCCTTTATTATCAGCATACTGAGCAAATAAATGAAATAAATTTTTTAGTTGAGAGAATTGTATCATAATAAGGCAAGTAGCTGCTGGTTACCTTTTGAGATTGCATGTTCATATAATCATCGCGAACTTGGAAATGAATTCCAACGAGATTAACTAATTCAATATAATCTTCATTTGAAGAACTAGCTTCCTGCATAAGTTTAACAGCAAGACGCAACAATCCTCCGGTTTCTATAGAAAAAAGAAAACCACAAACACGTGTAACTAAACATCGGAGCAGAATAACCAAAGAAAACCGAAATATATTATTCGATTACTTACTGTTCGAGACCATTTCAATGAAGTCTTTTTCGGATGGACAAGTTAAAGTATCTCTCCAATACAATTCCATTCCTTGACCACGATGTAAATTTAATAGCTCCTCTACAAGTTTATTTAGTCATTAATAACAAAGAAAATTCTTGTGAATCGACGAAACCGAAACTAGTTTAGGTTAAGTTTCTCAAGTATAACAAATTAGTTATAGAGATACATACCAGTATAGATATTGAGCATTTTAGGGTTATCTAATTTGGCCAATTCACTTAAAGCCATAAAGTATACATAATTTGCGCAATTGATAGTTGCGGGAACTCCATAAATGTGATGCGCAACTATGATTACAAAACGTTAAATATTGCTTTTAGATCGACATGCAAAATTCAGTAAGTGGTTGAAATTTACCAGGAACTCCTCTTCTTAAAGTAGAACTATCTTCAACGTCATCGATTCTATAATTCATTTACGCTTAAAATAAGAAACTAAATTTTTTATCATTTCTTAAAAGAAAACATGGCAAATACTTACAACAAAGAAGCATTATGTAACATTTCTATTACTTTAGTTATGACATTTAGTCGATCTTTTGGAACTTTAAACCAATAGTCAAAGGCTTCAATCATTTTAGTTCTGATCTCTTTACCAGGATGAGATAATAAATAATTATATGGTTCCAAAAGAACTTCTTCTTTATTACTTGAAATATCATTAGTAGTTTTTATTCCAGAGGAGGGCGAATTGGAAGGTACATTATTTAAAGTGTTAATATTGAATTTACTTGATGAAAGAGACTTTGAATTTTTCTTATTACGAAAAGATTTATTAAAGATAGGAGAATTTGAACTTTTCTTATTACGAAAAGATTTATTAAAGTTAGCTTTGAAAGAGTTCATGATGATTTGTTTTATCTAGGAAACAAAACTCAAAAGGGAATATTTTTTGAAGGGAATATTTTGACTAATTTACTTACATAACTATCATATTTATTCATTTAACATCAAATAAATATATATATATATACAATCTTTAATAAAATTAACCGCGAATAATATCGGGGTATTTTTTTATTAAATTTACAATATCCCGACTATTAATTTACCTATTTAGGACTTAGGAACCGAATGTTGTTATTTTTAGTTGGATCAACTTGATCAACAATTAATCGATTTAATTATGCATTACCAAAAAGAACGATTAAATAAGTGGAACATATATATCCGTAGATCATATTCCAATTTTATTCCACAATTTTGTAATTTCTTTCTCATAATATATTTTATTATTTTATTATATATTTTATTATTAATGAATACAGAATTAAAAAGTTCATATATAATCAATTAACGAATAAATTTGAACTCATTTATGAGCAGAGATATCAGGATATAGATCAAATCTTCTCTGTGATGATACTGGTATCATTTGTCTAATTTGTTTAATTTTTTCCAAATCTAAAAATAAAATTAGACAAAAATGTTACAATCACAAAAAAAAAAAAAAAAAAAAAAAAAATTTAAAAATTTAAAAATTTATACCTATATCAGCATAAATAATTGCTTCTTCATGTTCCGTGGTTGCAACAATTTGTCCGCTAAAATTAATATTTACAAGTTATGGATTAACCATGTAGCGAAGAAAAAAAAGTATGACCCATTTAATTAAACTTACTTTGGATCAGTTACAGTAGAATGGCCCCATGCATGATAAGTTGATGTCATATCTCGAGCAGGTGAACATGTAGCCACAAAGAACTATTTGATAAATTGATTTGAACTTTAAATGTGCATTCTCGAACGACAATTCTCACTTGTAAAATTGAAAAACCTACTTGATTATCCAACGCCCTAGCTCTTTGTAAGACTATTTCACAATATAAAATGATCAATAAGTTAAACTATTAAAGCAATGTCAAATGGAAAACTTACGTTCCCAATGTAATGGACCAGTTGTAAGGTTAAATGCACCCGGATATATCATTGCAATGCATCCTTTTCTCGCAGCAATCATGGCCATTTCCGGAAATCTCATATCATAACAAATTCCAATTCCAACCTTTCCATAATCTGATATAAATTTGGTATTATTAAACAATATAAGGTCTTATGATGATTCGATAAATTGTTGACAAACCAGTTTCGAAATGTGTCAAGGAACTCCCAGGGGATAATGTTTCACTTTCTTGAAATTTTATTATTCCTGGAATATCAATATCAAATAAATGAACCTTGCGATGTTTCACAATAAGATTTCCTATTAAGGTTTTTTAAAAAAGGATAAAATTACGGTACATCGAATTGAAAAATTTAATCGATATCGAAATAAATTACCTTTAGTATCGTACACGGTACAAGTATTATATAGCTTTCCGGATGAATCTCGTTCCGGTATAGATCCTTCAAATCGAAATTGGCTTCATTTACCTAAATTCTAAATAGTTGATTCCAATTACTTGAAGCGAAATATGTGAGTTATTTACCTCCTACAACAAATGCGTTGGCTTCCTAACAAAATGTCAATCAAATATATATATATAACTTTAATAATAAAATAAAAAATTAGATTGATTAATTTAAAGTGTACGAATGATTTACCTTTGCTGCTTCAGAGAGGGTTTTCACACTTTCACCTTGTGGAATATTTTCTGCATACTCTGAAAAATATTTTGTCCCATAAGGTGAATTAAAACATTCCTAATATTTTTTAAAAATAAATAAATAAATAGAATAAACTGAACGAGTCAACCCATTACAATAATAAGAATATAATAACTACTGGTAAAACGATAACTTTAGCACCATTCCTCGACGCTTCCAAAATTTTACTTTTCGCATTAATTAAATTTGCGTTCTTATCAGATGTAACACTTAATTGAATACATGCAAGCTTGAAAGAACTATAGGTTGATGAAGACATTGTAGATAAAAAAGTCGTCTTGAAGGGAAAGTGACATTTAGATAATCGAGAAAACATTTTAACGTCACATGAATAAAAATAAAACCACAAATTATCGAATAAATAGTAATAATTTTTGTCTATCATTATAAATGGCTTTTTTAATGCTTAGTTGATGCACCAAATAACATTCATTTTTTACTGAACCATACACAGAGCTACTATAAATTATTTTGCAAACTTCTCGAGAAGATTTATATAAATTCGACGATGAGATATGAACAAAGTATTTTATTTCTTCTTTTAAATTTTCAATTTCTCGTTGAAATTGTAGGATAATCAAGATCAGTTAGTACTACTTAGTTTATGTTTCCTTTTTTAAATTTGATTTGAATTATGTTGACTTTAGCTATGTTGATTTGAGCCTGTCTCTATCATGGCTTTTATCACGATTACGTTTTGCTAGAAGTATCATCTGATCCAGAAATATTTAATCCAGATTCTGGTTCACTTGATTTGATTTCTCCTGCTAATACAGTAGTACTCTCAAGATCATATTAATTTCATTTCAATCTTTTAATTTTGATCCGAAGAATTCAATCTTTGTCGGATGATGCAATAAAATATCAGGAAATTTTATGATCAAGTAAGAAAGAATTTAAAGATCATTTTGGAACACTTTAATCTTCAACAATAAAATGTAGGCATCAAATTTTACGTTTGTGGTTTTATTTTGAAATAATAATAAATTACAAATGATAAAATGTATATTGTAAGGAGTTACTAAATAACGATCATTTTATCTACATGAAATTCCTTTCATTTCAAAAAAAATATATGAATGTTCACAGCGGCGTCATGGGGGATATGGTATGGTCTTGTTGCGGGGCAGCTTCAAAATTCTTGGGATGCCGTCACTTGACTCATGTCTATTTGAGAATACTAAAAAAAATGAGTATTTGCGTGGTCATTGTCAAGAATTATCACCCGGAACCTAGTCAAGGAACGTCAATGAAATTCATGTATCCTATTCATCACAGGCCCTGATCACAGCTAGCTTTTCGGTAACGTAGAAGAACGTTCACAGCAGGCCGTTCACCGTATGCCAGTTCTGAATACCTGACTGGTAACTTTCACAAGTGTGGCCACGATGCGCTTTCAATTCTCCGATTTACACCTATTGACAGCGTAACTTCGGATACATAACAACCCAACAAATAACACAATGAAACTCATCTCGTCATTTAATACTCTTTTCGTCAAAACTTCACAGAGTCAGAGAGGAACTAAGATGGAGGGAAATAAAAATACTTTGGAATGATTTAATAAAACGTGTAATTTAACCGTAAAAGGATAATAGTTGCTCATGCTTTCATGCTTGGAAGCTTAGAATCTATGAAATGAAACTTATTAATCGATTCCGATCTTTGTATTAATGTTGAGAAGGATAAACTGCATCAATTATAAAGATAGTTATAAAAGTAATGATTATAATTTAAATTTTTTTTTAAAAAAAAACAAAACAAATTTATTTAAGCCTAAACATGAATGCCTTGTAATTATAATTTTTATTATTAATAAGATAACTTCCATATATTTTTGATTAAAAAACAGTATTTATCTGATTTAAAAAAGATCAAACTTTATATATCATAAATAGTTTAAATGTTAAAATATGAAATATTTACACTTTAAGATTTCAAAAAAGTATAATAAGGTTAGCAATAGTAAATAAAACTTCAATATAGAACCTTTAAATAGAAAAGGAGAAAATTTTTTGAAAACAATTAATATGCATAATATGATTTTTAGGCTAAAATATATTTAGAGCATTAATTTATTATTTATCTTTTTTAGCAGTTTTTTTTCCATTACAAATTTATTAGTCTAATCTTAGATTTCAAGTATCTAAGATATCTTGTATATGTCTTATATAAAGATCTATCTTTTCATATTAAGGTATTAAGATTAACTTATTAATTATATCACCTTAAAGGTTGTTATTTAGAAATAATTTTTTGAGAAAATATTTAAGTATTCTAGATTTCCAAGTACTATTAGATTTGAATAGATGAATTACTTTAGCTATAGCTATCTTCACTCTAATTTTTAAGTATTAATTAGAATTCTGAATGAACTGAGCCAACTTTTGAGTTAAATGAGTTGAGTCAAGTTGAGTCAAGTCAAGTCATAAAAAATTTGACTTGTTTAACTTGAGTCAAATTTTAAGTTAAGCTTAACTCGATTTAAGATAATCATTCTAATAGAATTATAGTATATTATTCTTAGAAAACGATAGAAGGATTGTTCTAATAGAACGATAATATATCATTCTAAAGGATCGATAAAAGGAATTATTCTGATAGAATGATAATGCATTATTCTAAAGAAATGATATAGATAATCATTCTAATAGAACAATAATGCATCATTCTAATAAAATGATAAAAAGTATTATTCTAAAAGAATAATCTATTATTATTCTTAAGAAACAATTCGATTATCATTCCAAAAAGAATAATCTATTATCATTCTTAAGGAATAATTCGATTATTGTTCCAAAAAGAACAATCTATTATTATTTTTAAGTAACAATTCCAAAAAGAATGATGTTTAATCATTCTATTAAAACAATTCTTTCTATCGTTCCTTTAGAATAATGCATTATTGTTCTATCAAAACAATTCTTTTATCATTCCTTTAAAATGATAATTTATCATTCAATTAGAATGAATAACTTAAGTTAAGTTGAGTTGAGGTTTAAAAATTTTTTGACTTGACTCGATTTGACTCAACTTGATTTTTCGAGTTGAGTTGAGTTTAACAAAAGCTTGCTCAATCCAACTCATTCAGAACTCTAACATTAACTATTATCCAGATCTAATAACATGATTTAATATGATATAAAGCTTTATATATAATAAGCTTTAGAAGTTACTAAATCTTATATATTAACATTGGATATTTATTTCTTGAATATATAAATTTTTATATGTTTATATCCAATACTATTATTTTAACATATTACTTAAAATTTAAAACTTTTTTTAAACCTTTAAAATGACTTTTTTAAATCTAAAACTTAATTAAACTTAATTAAATTTAGGAAAACCTATTAGAAATTTAGGTAAAGATATTTATTATAAACAAATAGTTTAATATTAATTATCTTGAAACTTAAAATTTCTAAAAATAGTTTAAAAAAACAACTTTAACTATTATAGATAATTCATAATCAGATAATATTATATCTATACTATGATCTAAACTATTTTACTAATATCAAAAATCAAAATTATATATATTACTACTTTTTATTTTTTTATGCAGAAGTTTTATAATATCTTTATTTATATATATAATTATTAGAATTATTAGCTAAAAATTTAGCATTATAAAATTGATCTGATCTGCAAAAGGAATTAACAAATGATTTACAAAAGTTACTATTAGAGATTTGCATAATTCATGATCTGATTAACTTTTATTAGGGTTTTGTAATTCGATTTGATATTTGAATATTTGATTTGATTTAATTAAATTCAAATCAAAGAATGATTTATTTGATCAAATACAAATTAATGTTTAATTCAATTTGATCAAATTTAAATCAAGTATTCAAATATTTGATTTGATTCAAATCAATAGTAAAGCCATCTCTAAAGTTTTAGGAGTAGTTCTTACTATAAATCATAGTAAAAAATGCATCTGCAGCTTCAGAAATGTCTTTTTAACTAGAAAATTATAGTAAAAAGTGCTTCTGCAGCTTTGAAAATGCTCTTTTTACTAAGAAAAACATAGTAAAAAAGCCTTCGTAGCTTTAAAAACATTATTTTACTAGAAAAATATAATAAAAATACTTTCACATCTTCAGAGATATTATTTTACTAAGAAAATATAGTAAAAATGCCTTTGCAGCTTTGGAAACGTTATTTTACTAAGAATACATAGTAAAAATGCCTCTGTGGCTTTAGAAACGTTTTTTACTAATAAAATGGCTATGAAACTGAAATAGTGGTTATTACTAAGTTTTCTTAGGGAAGGATCAGAAATCACGTGTTTAATGAAGGGGAGGTGGGTGATATCTTATTGATTATGTTTATAAATAGTAATTTTATTTATACTAGTCAAAATCAAAAAATCGCTATTTGCTATTCATTGCCAATTCAGACTAAATTCAGAAATCAGTCAAAAATCAGCTATCATATTTATAACTGATTTATGGTAGATTAGTGTTGAGCTAAAAATTAACTCCAATTGGTCCAATAGGACAATACAAAAATTGTCCAATTGGAAAAAGATATGATAGTAAACAATCATTCCAAATGAAATGATATAATCATTGTTCTAAAAGAATAATTCAACATCGTTTCAATCAGATGATGCAAATCTAATAGGAACGATTAAAAATCATTTCAAAGGACAATACATTTTTGCTCTTATTGAACAATTTGAAAAATCATTCCTTTGGGATGATAGATTGATTGTTCATTAAAAACAATTAAAATTCATCCCTTTGGGATGATAGATTATTATTTTTATTGAACGATTTAAAAGATCGTCTCTTTAGGATAATAAAATCATCGTTCATTAAGAACGATTAAAAAATCGTTCCTTTGGGATGATAGACTATCATTCTTATTAAACAATTTAAAAAATCATCCCTTTGGGATAATAGACTATTGTTTTTATTGAACGATTTAAAAATATCATCCCTTTGAAATAATAAAATCATCATTCATTAAGAATGATTTAAAAAATATTCCTCTGGGATGATAAAATTATTATTCATTAAGAACAATTTAAAAAATCGTTCCTTTGGGATGATAAAATCATCATTTATTAAGAATGATTTAAAAAATCGTTCCTTTAGGATGATAAAATCATTCCAAAGGGATGATAAGTTGATTATTCATTAAGAACAATTAAAAAATTATCCCAAAGAGATGATAAATCATTGTTCTTATTGAACAATTTAAAAAATCGTCTCAAAGAGATAATAAATCTATCATTTATTAAGAACAATAAAAAATCGTTCCTTTTGGAATGATTATCATTTGATTGGAATGATCAAATTATCATCTTGAAGGGTGATACACTATTATTTAAATTAACATCATTATTTTAATTGGATAATAAAAAGTCATTGATTGAACGATCAAATCATCGTTCCCTAAGGGACGATACAAATCATTCAATAGAAACAATATTTCAATTGGATAATACAACAATCATCTAATTAGCTAAAATAATTATGAATAAATTTCAGATTAATCAAAAACTTTCAGATTAATCTGAAAAAAATTTTCCTTTTTTTAACCTTTTTCCTTTCTTTTTCTGTATTTTTTTTTCTAATTTTGAAGATTTTTACCATTTTTTTAGGAAAATTCTCATTTTGAAAATGTAGTAAATCATTTTTAGGTGAAAATTTACTATTTCCTTATTTTTCTTTTTTTTTTAGGAAAATTTTCATTTTAAATCGGAAACAAGTTTTTAGATGGATTTTCCTTTCTTTTTCTTGTTTTTTAAAAAAATTTCTCATTTTGAAAATAAGAAATATAAATCTAAAGTGACTTTTAATGGATTTTCTCTTCTTTTTCTTTTTTTTAGAAAAATTATCATTTTGAAATTAAGGTAAGCAATTATTGGTAAATTTTTGGATGAAAATTTATCATTTTCTTTTCTTTTTCTTATATTTTTTAGAAAATGAAAATTTTTTAAGGTAAGCAAATCGTTGGTAACTTTTTGGATGAAGATTTAACATTTTTCTTTTCTTTTTTCTTATTTTTTTTAGAAAATTTCTTAAGGTAAACAAATAGTTGGTGACTTTTTGGGTGAAAATTTATCATTTTCCTTTCTTTTTCTTGTTTTTTTTAGAAAATTTCTTAAGGTAAGCAAATCTTTGGTGAATTTTTAGTGAAAATTTACTATTTTATTTTCTTTTTCTTATTTTTTTTAGGAAATTTCTCATCTTCAAATTAAGATAAGCAAATTGTTAGTAATTTTTTGGGTGAAAATTTATCATTTTCCTATTTTTTTTTCTTATTTTTTTTAGGAATACACTATAATAAATCAATCGAAGATGGAATTTTTGATTCATTTCTTTATTTTACTTTATTTTTATATATATGTTGAAAGTGTTTCTTTCTAAGAAATTTAAATTTATCAGTTATATAAAATAATAAAAATATAAATTTAATATATTG